CCATTGCTGCCTCCTTTTAAAAATACTAGTTTCCTGACTGTCTTGCAGTTTCAGTTATATCAGTACCGTCTCAGTCACTCATTCAGGACAAGCATGCATATCAGAAGCATCAGATCAGAAGCCCAGCCCTTAAGCATATCTAAACCTAAAAACAAAAATAATATATTCCAACTTACCAGTCCTTAAATGTTGTAATTGCATTAGTTTTCAGGCTTTTTTTCCCTTTCTTTTCTTTTTGCACTTATCGAACAGCTATAACAAAACGTTTTTAATGGTAAATTTAACAAACCAAAAGGGAGCATTTGTTAGGAATTTTATACATTTTCATTCTGTCTATGATGGATCTAAAGGCTTGTTCCAGATCAGTGACTCAAAGTATTGTAACCAAAGACAGCCAAGCAATTGCATTTTCAAAAGGTGAGCAATGGAAGCCTTTCACATTTCTCACAGTACAGATTCCCTTTGACACATTTGAGCAGATAGAAATATAATTACATATGATACACTTATATACTTTATGACAGGCACACTATGACTTTGGCACTTAACAATAATGAATGCATAAACTGTAGGTAATGGTAGTATTAGGCAAAAAAGAAGGCAAATCTGAAAGAATAGTGGAGGAGGGATTGGTAGTAAGGAAACTAGGTTGGACTGCTAGAATGATCCAAAGTGTAGGGTAGTCGCTGATCGCCCATCACAAGCTCTCTGTCTCTTCATAAATGCTGCCTCCCGGCCTGTCAGCAATTGTGTGCACTGAGCCACACAAACTGGTCAGTGCACAAGCTTGGCAAGGTCGTGTGTCAAAATGAAGTAACTCTCATGCAGATGCGTGGGAGTTGCATCATCCTGGCAAGGCCAATCAAGCTACAGAAGATACCGAACCCGAACGACCAGGAGAAGAGGGAAGCTTCGGCAGCGGAGCAGAGTGCTGGAAGGTATCCTATGCAAGGGAAGTCAGCCATAATATGCAAATGTGCAAATATGCTGTGCACACTAGCACATTATGGCAAACACCTGCTGGGGCCCAAAATATCAGTTTTAGTTTTCTGGATTACTATAGCTTTAAAGTAAACCTGAGCTTTGCCCATGCAGGACAAACCAACATGTTCACCTAAATGCTCCCATCCCCAGCAGTACATAGCCACCTTCCTTTGCTTGCCTACCACTTTGTTCGGCTTCTAGAAGCTCCATGTAAGCTCTGAGTCTTTCTAGTCAGAGCTTACATAGAGTTGTGGACTCCCTCCCTGGCCCATGTAACAGCACTGGATCAATCACCCAGCACCAGCGCTGTCACATAAGAGTAAGGGGAGTGAGATGCTTTTCCACACCTGAAAGTACCAAGTAGCTGAACAGACTGGAGCAAAGGAAAGGTAAGCATGTTGTGCTGGGGAAAGAGGCATCATAGAGAGCCTGTTCGTTTTGACCTGCACAGCCCACAGGTTTGCTTTAAGTACACCAACAATTAAAAGAAATATAAGGGCATATATTGCTTATCACCTTCTGAAAATGCTAGTTGGCTGATTGCATCTGACTTTAGTATTTCTGAGTCATAGACCGGGAACAAGCAGGCAGCAAATGAACATTAGAAAAAAGTAATTCCTTATCTCTAGACTTGTTCCAAGTCAGCGACTTTGAAATCAATGAAGCCAAAACATTAGCATTACAATCAAGCAACTAGCATTGCACGAGAGGTTCACTTGTCCCAGATAACAGGTGAACTTGAAATCAGTACATCATGTGCAAAATGAATTCCTAATTTATAACATTTTCTGCAAATAATTGGGCATTCATGGACAGTCATCAGCTCTTTCATGGTTGTGTAATCACCGAGCCACATTGTCCTCTCTGGAATAAAGTGTAGTAGTGTAGTAACATTTGAACTGTAAGTTCCATAACTACAGATTAGAGCTTTGGAGGGGTCATTGTAGATCAGTTTTGTACAACAAAAACAAGTAGACCTGTTTTCCAAAATCTGTCCTCCTGCCTGCACTGTACCCAAACCCTGGAAGCTCCATTCTGTACACCCTCTTCCCCTCTTCACATGGGACTCTATTTCACACATGACATGAGATCCCCCTCATCCTCGACTCATTTCTTTCTCCACCCTCTCAGTTATCCCACATCCTATTTTAACTTTTCTTTTTCTTTCTTTATTTACGTCCATTGCAGCCAGATCTCTGTGGTTCACAGATGGGCTCAGGGAAACTCGCAGAGGTGCGTCACAGGCCCAAAAAGAAGCTTGCATCAAAAGTGCTTCTTTGAGATGTCCTAGCGTTTGCAGCTGCAAGTTCATGCGTGTGCCGTAGATATGTTGCTTGGCTCATACGTTTCTCATTCACTCCCAGACTCCAGGGGCCCATGTCACTCATTATTTCTAATCTTTTTTTATTTTATTTTTATTTTCAGAGCTGCTATATGTTTGTCCTAGGAAACCTTTCCTAAGGTAAACATGGAGGCTGCCATTCTGCAGCAAGTTGGCTGGCTGTCAGCTGACCGTTTTGGGTCAGTCAGTGACCTGGAACAAGTATGTAGTTAAGGATTTGTGACTTTTCTCCAACTTCACTGATCTGCATACTTGTTCCAGGTAAGTGACTCTTAAGAAGGTCAATATTGGCAGCACCCATGTTTCTCTCAGGAATGGTATGTTTTGTGAATACCTAGATTGGGGTAGCAGTGAAAAAACTTGTATTTCTTTTTAACCCCTTCGTGACTGACGACGTACAGTGTACGTCGCCAGCATCGGGGCTGTTTAAACAGATTCCCGGCGACTTTTGCCGCCGGGAGTCTGTTTAAACTTGTAGAGCCGACTGTCGGCTTTACAACAGAAGCGATCCTGGCGACTTACCTGTCGCCAGATCGCTTCTGCGTCCCGAAGAAGGGGCCGCCCCCCCATCTTGGCATTCAGAAAATATATAATGTTGGGGGGTTTTACGTCATTTTCAGGCCTAAAATGTGGAATATAACATGGGTGCAAAAATGGAAAAAAGGGCCTCAGTCATGAAGGGGTTAAACAACTTTTATGATATTCAACCTTAGCTATCAACTCCATACAATGATTAAAGTGCATTTATGGTTGTGCTAGGTGTCAGCATTTGTTGAGTTTTGTAAGAAACCCTGATACAATTTTAGCACAGTACCTTAAACAATCCTCTTCTTTTTACGTGTGGCAAGCTAGGGTCATGTCTCCAGTTGCTTGTGTAAAATTGGATATACATAGAGACACCATACAGTTCAGATGAGCATTGCCTGATTCAACTTTTTTAGGCAGATGAGGCTATATTAGCATTCACAGGGCCGGCCTTAGGCCTTTAGGCGCACTGTGCGAGAAATCTTTACAGCGCCCCTCAGTGACCACACCCCTCAGTGGCCACACCCTTTAGTGGCCACACCCCCATAACTACACCCATTTCCCCCAATATCCGCACCATTTAAAGACTCCTATTTTGTTAAGCCGCAAAGAAACATATTAAAAAGTATGATAAAAATAAAACTTTTATTCAAAGGTATTAAACTTGTAGGCACAATATAAGTATTCTTATCAAATAAAACAACTGTAGGCAAACAAGTGGTAAACAAAAAATGTCAAACTAAAATAGAGTCTATATAAATAAAGTGTCAGTATGTCATGCCGATCCCTTTTTTCAAGTAAGTGCATCTAGAAAAGTTAAAATAGAAAACAGAACACAAAACCTAGACTACATGTAAAATTCATGAATTACTATATGTCCGAATATACGAAAAATATATTCAGGCGCATAATAATATGTTTGAGAATGTGCGGCGGCCATGTTGGCCACCGGCGTGTTCTGTGAATGCGTGCCACCATCTTGGAGGCAGGGAGCATGACGTTACATGACGCCATGCATGCGTGGCGTCAGGTGACCTCACACGCCGATATTGGCCCCACCATCTTGGTGTATACCTAGATATACACCAAGATGGCGGCGCCCAACACGTGCGGTGTTATATGACGTCATGCGCCCTGCCTCCAGAACATGCCATGGCTGAATCCAAAATAGCATAAAAATGTGTTTTGTTTGATGAAACTAATGAAAACTTTTTTAGTTTTTGTTCATTTCATCGGAAATGAACTTTTAGTCTTCACACATGTCTAATAATACGTATGTGTGTGTGTGGGGGCTGTTTTCACTTTTTTAAAACAATTTTTTACAGTTTTTATTATTTTTTTCATACTTTTTTTTATTATTTATTTATTTTTTACTGTTGGGGGGGCTTCTGGAAATATTAGGGGTCCAAACAGACCCCTGACATTTCCCTTTTAAAATAGAAAAGAAATTGAGGACACCAAATCCTCAATTTCTTTTTCAGCAGCCTCAGCACTCAATGAATGGGAAGCTCTCAGTACAGAGGTTTCCCATTCAAATATTTACAATTAGCTGTTTCTGAATGGGAGGAGCCTCTGTGCTGAGTGCTTCTCCCCATTGAGGAAATCTTGAATGAACAGGCTGTGATGTAAATCACAGCCTGTTCATTCCTAACTGGGGACACATAGTACTATGTGTCCCCAGTTATTTACAAACACTGGAGTGATCAGACGATCGCTCCAGTGTTTGTCCTTCTCACACGGAGGATCAGTAAATATCAATGATATTTACCGATCCCCGCTCTGGCACGCACAGAGCCGCTGAAACTGACAGGATGACAGCAGCTCAGATCTCCTACCCGCTCGGCCATCCTGACAACTGCGGGCGCGGCTTCTCTCCCCTTAACCGCTCCGCCATACTGACAGCAGG